TTTATCTACCCATCCATCCATTCATTCATTCATCCATCCATAGAAACTTGACGTCACAGTTTGCTGTTACAAAATTGCACCACTTTTATTCATTTAAGGCTTTTTAGTTTTACTTTACATTTGGCTTCACCCCCTCCCCCCTCCCTCACTCCCCCTCCCCAACCTCCTGATGCTGTTCTGGAAGAAACCACTTCAGTCCAGGTCCAGACCAGGTTTAGACCTGGTTCAGACCAGGTTCAGGTTTAGACCTGGTCCAGACTGTACTCAAACCAGGTTGATACCAGGTCCTGAAATAGTCCCTTCGGCTGAAGTGAAAAGATTCAGCGGAGTGGACGTGGGATTTTGAACCTGATGTTTCAGCGGTTGAACTGGTTTCTTTTACATTTCACTGGTCATCATGCCGTACAGAGGAAAAGAAGCAGATTCATTTCAGTGATGAACAATAATCATTTCTTCTTGTCGTCAGTGGATCGTTCCGGGTGGCTGCAGCTGCGATCGCCATGATGCTGCAGCTACACATGAAACTCTGAGTTTAATCTGAGTCCAGCACAGACAAGGTCCTGAATGTGTTTAACCTAGCTTAGCACAAAGACTCGAAGCAGAGGGAAACTGCTAGCCGCCAACACTTATTTAGCATTTAGAAGCAGTGTATAAAGATTTTACAGTTTAAATCACACTATAATGCAGCCATAAATGTTTTTAGTATTCATAACAATGTAAACATCTCCTGTGACGACATATTTTAGATTCCATCTGTGTTGTTACATCATCAATCATTATCTTCAGGTTATACACCAGCCTATACTCATGGGAGCCCACAGGGGGTGCTAGAGTTGTTGACAAATACTTAAATAAACACTTACAGCTGCTTACGTGTATCTTCTAGTTCTCTAATAACCATTTATTCAGTTTTATACACTGCTAATGAATGCGACACAGAAGGGAAACTTTAAAATAAAATGTGATGTTGGCTTACCACAACTGTCAAGGCCTCAGTGTGTTTGAGAAGAAGTGCTGGTCAAATTATTTTAAACAGAATCTAACAAGTTTCTCTACTTTATCACAATCACACCAAATTTAAGCAGCAACGGCAGGACCGAGAAATTACGGCAAAGTGTTAGCCTCATTCTCAGGCTTATTCTGAATCTTATTTTAATGTGAACACCACAGAGGTCGTCTGCTCCTCATAGTGTAACCTAGCGATTCTGAAGCATGCCGGGACGTGAGATTTAGAAATGGATGACGAATCGTCCAATGTTACATTTCTACAACTTAAATGATGAATGCAGCTTCGGGGAGGCTGAAGGGTCTGATTGCAGCTGCAGCCACGCTAAGATCTGATTGGCTGTTTTTTTCAGCCAAGGAGTTAAGTGAGCTTTCACATCACAGGAGCGCTAATCACGCAAAACCTGTTTGGGAATGTGTCGTCCACTGTGGGTACGTTTCATTTAAACTGCACGTGTTTAGCATTCATAAACAGTACTTAGGCTACATGTTTGAACATAATTTGAATATTATTATATATTTATAACTGTTTTTACAGCAGTTGTAGAAACTTTGCAGGAGAAATTCTAAATGTTGATTAATAACTTATTAATAAACATTAAAATATCCTCATCTCTTTACAGTGTTTATATACTGTTTATAAATGCTAAAAATACATTCAAATAAAATGTACCCGGAAAATCTTTGCATTTATCAAACAAACAAGTTCTTTATCTGTTACAAAACCAGAAAAAAAGATATTTGAAAACATGTCTGATGAACCATAAATTTCACCTTCGCGTGGCTCGACCAAGTTACTGTTTGAGTATGGAACAGACTCATTGCTGCCCCTTGTGGCCTGGAAAAAAACAACACACATTACTACTGTAGTTGCAGTGGGTGAATTCTGCCATCCATCCACAAGGGGCAGTAATGAGACTTTATGGCTTCATCAGAAAGGTGTTTTCAATTCCCTTAACTTTTCCGTGGGAATAATCCGGCAGTGATCAAAACACTGGCATTCCTATCGGTTTTACTTGAACTGCACATTACAATAACTCTGCCAACATTGGAATTAGCCGGAATGCACCGTCTCGGCCGCAAATAAGACTTTTCTCTTGAAAGCTTCTGCTCGGCATGCAAACTGTCGCAGCACCTCCCGGAGGTCAGACCGAGAACTGACAGAAACATCAACATGCTACATGACTGAACGTACTGGGGGAGAACCAGAATACTGACAGAAGTACTCCTGGTGATACAACACTGTGCACAGCAGTACTCACAGAGGTCACTGGTCCAACATACGGAATCTGTGAGCGGAACTCACGTTTCAACAGACGCAGATTTTTCAAACGCTTTCTCCGGCTACTGCTTCACTGGCCACGCCCTCTGTCTATCTGAGGCGGGGCTTCAACTTCAAGCCCAACCCCCTTTCAACTTCAGCTGTGATACTGTTTTGACGAGACACCGAGGTGAGCTCAGCTCCTTTAACGTTTCAGAATACTGACGTCATAACCAGCTATTTCTCCGCAGTATTCTACGATAACTCATAACATGAAGATTTAAAAAAGAAAATGCTAATTCGTTAATTTCGTCCTGATCCGTGAATATTCAAAGTAGGATCATCAAGAAAAATAGCTGGTGGTGATAATTTTCTACTGAGCCAGGCATCAATTTTCAGCCAAGCCAATGTATTTTATGCAAAATGTCAAGATTTCTTTTTTGAAAATGTGCATTAAAAAAAACTGGCTGCACCCACTGATCAACATGCAACACGAAGGACCAACCCAAACGATTTCCTGATCGTGACACTTGGATATGTTCCCATCAGTTAAGGGACCTTCGTGTTTCCCTCAGACGTGTTAATAATATTAATAATCAAGTAATAATGTGGTTAATAACACAGAAACAACTGTCTGTCTGTCCTGCTCAGTAAATACAACCCCTGCTCCATGTCGGGCCAACGCTCTAGTTCCTCATTGTTACTCACTTACACTCACAAACACACAAAACACACACTCACGAACACACACAGAGCTAAGGTACTGGACCAGTGTGAGTCTGCTGTCGAAAGGCAACCTGTCCGCCCCGAGCAGCAGATCTGAAGTCAGTTCACCGTGTTGCTAACCAGCTAGCCTGCAGCTACTATCATTTGTTTGTTTGTTTGGAAGTGTACCATTGTTAGCATCCAGTGGCTAATGCACCAGGTCACAGTTCAGTTTCTTTACGGACACACTTAGACCAAAACAACTTGTTTCATTGTCGATGTTTAAATACAACGTTCCTTTTCCTGACAATGATCCTGACACAGTTTTCAAGATGGCTGACTGACTAGCCCAGGGAAACTGGGCAGCAACGTTGCTAATAAATTCCATTAGCTACTAGGACGAGAGGTTAGCCAACAGGTAGCTGATAAGGAAGTTCACAGCCATTAACATGCATGTATTTCTTTATGAATATGCTGACATCTTTAACACTCCTTAACATTTTTAGCAACTGCTCACACCATTGCTAAATCATTCCATTAGCTGCTAGCAGTAAGAGCTAGCCTGTATCTGGCAGCTTCCACCTGTCTCTTTGAGATACAAACAATGCTAACAGCCCTCACATATTGAAATAGAATTATTAGCATTCCCTGACATACCAAGGTATTCTAATGTACACATTCATTTCTTTAAAAAAATATGTGAACATCACTAGCACTCCCGAGGGGAATTCATTTTGATAGCATTCACCACAGCCTATGCTCAGCAGCTACGATCATTTTTGGGGGGATATCCCAATAATGCTATCACACCACACATGGCGCTACATTGTAATAGCTGCTCGGCTAGCAAGCTCATTCATTTCTTTAACAATATGCTAACAAGCAATCCCTTTTACAAGTTGAGTCATAGTGGTCAGCTAACTGAAGTTAGCTTAAAGTTAGCAACGCGGTGAGCCAACGCCCGACCTGCTGCACGCCCAACCCCCCCGGCCCCCACCCCCAAATAAAAAACAAAAACATGAAATTAATTTTATACCCTTTCACACATAATTATAATTATAACTAATAATAATAATAATCACTGTATGGATCCACAGGTTCAACCAGAGACACATATACAGAGTCAGCCATGTTACACGCAACATCAACACGGTAGCCGTGGCGCCAACATGGCTGACAGTGGTTAAGCTGTGTGACGGGCTCTGTCGTGCTGGAAAATAAGAAGGAAGGAAAACAGGAAAGAAACATCTAAACATAAAAAAGCAAGAAGCCACTCCCCGGAGCAAAATGGCTATGCAGAGAGCATGATGGGAACTGTGGTTTAAATTTGGGTAGTTGTTTTCTAATTCCTGCAATAACATCTTCATCGTCATCATCATCGCCGTCGCCGTGTCTGGGTGTTTGGAATATGTAGCCAAGGCAACAGTCTCTGTTAAACAGGGTGGGGAGGAAAAGGGTCGTCATGGAAACAGAGGTCAGAGGTGGCTGATGTTGATGATGACATGGTTATGTTAAAGGGGTGTGACCAGCTGGAAGATGTCCTGTGATTGGTTGGTTGGTTGGTTGGTTGTCGGTCAGGTGAGCAGGAAACTGGAGAGAAGGATGAGAACGAGAGTTTTTTATGAATAACGGTAAGAACGATAAGATGCCAGTGATGATGTCAGCGTGTCACACCCACCTGTCATTAGAGAAGCTGACAGGTGGACTTTTTGCGAGTTTTTCCTGGAACTGGACTCTTCCTGTTAATCTGTCGCACGAGGTCGTAGAAGATCTGCACACAAACACGTAAACCAACAAACACGTAAACAAACACAGATTTCATAATTTGGCCAAACAGACACAGGATACACAAGGTAGCCAAGATGCAAACATGTAGTTATAACTAAGTTTATCTACGGCCTCATGCACACGCAGCAGGTTGCATCACTAACTGTCAGGGTCGCTCACGTCAAGGATCATGACAAATCGTTCTTTTCTGTCTTTTTTCCCTCAGCAATAAAAATTGTGAAGTAGCATGAAATCAAATTACAAAACTGAAATTCAGCACAGCTGCTACGTCTACATGTTCATCTGTGAGCGCTCACCTCGTTGACGTTGATCTTGCTCTTGGCCGAGGTCTCCAGGAAGGCGCAGGAGTTCCACTGGCGGGCGAGGCCGATGCCCGACTCTTTGGCCACCACCCGCTCCACCTCCAGGTCGCACTTGTTTCCAACCAGGATCATGGGAACCTGCGGCCGTACAAGCAATTAAATATCTTTGGATTCAACTTGAGCTCTAGTAAATTCTTACGGTACGTGTCTGTGTGTGTGTGTGTGTGTGTGTGTGTGTGTGTGTGTGTGTCTGTGTGTGTGTGTCTGTGTGTGTGTGTCTGTGTGT